CTGTACATGCTGTACTCACTGCCCGGTGCTGAGAGGTAGGAGAGGCGGTCGTCGTGGATGTCAAGGTCATCGTCAGGAGCGCCATCTGCCTGCAGGCGGAGAGGGGGAGGGAGGGATGGTTAGGATGAGTTTGATGACCCACAGCAGTGGAAATGAAATGATGGATGGTGAGAGCGGAAACTAATGCATATCAAACGCCTTGGACTGGAACTGTGTAAAAGCAGAAATAGCTCTGCTCTGGTTTTTTTGCTCTTAAAAAGGTTTTTTTTTTAATATATATAGTAAATAAAAACATTTGACATGGATACTAAGCAAATAAATGAATAAACAGACATGAAATATTGTTTTAAGCAGAAATTGTTTGTGGGGATACACAATATATTTGTATGATATCAGTTAACAGCCAACATTAGACAATTTTTTTCATTTTATCAGATATATATCGGCTGATAGTTTTCAGATTTATTCAGTTTTTTCCAATTATAATTATGGTTATTATAAGTATTATTTATTCAGTTATACAGTTCACTAATTATAGAAAGCAAAATGCATCCAACAACTCGGCCAAACATAAATACCAATCATCCAATGCCGATAATTATAACATTTCAAACAGCCTTGTTGATATATACATCAACCACTTATTACAAATACATGTATATAATCATTATTTATTCAGCCATTGGCAGTTTTAGTGATGTCAAAATAAAAGTCTCAGGCAAATACCGATAATAAAAATAATAATAATAAATTATCGGTTAATTAATTGGCCTTGCCGATATACAAATTGACCGATAATTACAATTACAAATATCTAATTATTTATTCAGGTGCTGCTGTTTTTAGTGCTGTCAAAATAAAAGTTCCGACACTTATCCAAACAGAAAAATGTAAAGCCCAATGCCAATTTAAAAAAATGGCAAGGGCCTTGGCAATATATAGGTCAATCACTAATTACAATTACAGTAATATAATTACTATTTATTGAGGCATTGGCAGTTTTAGTGCTGTCAAAATAAAAGTCATGCTTCCAACACCAAAAATAACAAATTAAAGGCTGATGCCAATATCGGTCATTATATTGGCCTTGGCGATTATAGGTTGACCACTAATTACAGGCACATAATTATTATTTACTAAATTATACAGAGTAACTAGAAACATTTTAACCACAGAATGACGACAACTAACCAACCAAAATCAAGTATTCCAGAGAGCAGTGTAGTAATGGATTGCATTAAGACACATAAATGAGGCTAGGGTTGTTATGGTTGCCGACCCTCATTTAAGGCAGCGCTTCCCAAACCTGTTCCTGTAGGCACAGCCACAGTACATAATTTGGATGTCTCCCTTATTTGACCCATTCATTTCGTGTCTTGGAGTCTCTACTAACGAGCTGAAGAGTTGAATCAGGTGTGTTTGATTGGGAAGAGTCTCAAAATGTGTACTGTTGGTGTGGCTTCAGGAACAGGGTTGGGAAACACTGATCTAAGGTGTTTGAGTGGGGGTGGGAGCTCTAGACAAAGAAGCAACATCTAGATAGTGAGGCACAAAACTTTAGAGAAGCTTACCTTGCCCTCTGAGACCCAGACCAACTGGTTCTGCTGCTGCTGGATGGTCTCTTTCAAAGCTCCGTACCACCCATCGTTCATGTTGTTCAAGTTGATGGTGGCTAAAAGGCCAGGAAGTCGCAATTTACTTACTACAAATACACCACAAGTGATGCTTGCATTTAAAACAATAACTTTTATGGTGCTTTTGTAGCTTGCAAAAGTTCCCAGTTCTCATTCATTACATGGACTAGATTGTCCTGGACATGCTTTAAAATGTCTCCTTTTGTGTTCCATTGACTAAAGAAGGTCTAACAGTTTTGTAACAACATGAGACTAATAATATTATTTTGTTGTTGGGTCTACTCACTGGTGAAGAGGTGATGGTTGCTCTTTCTCAGTTTAAGAGCACGCTCATACAGCTTCCGGGCGCTCTTCCTGGACTCAGGACAGAGCCTGGTCCTCATGTTCTTGACACCCTGCTTGCTGTCA